AGGCGCCCGCTCAGCCGAATATGGTGCAGCATCGCAAGGACTAGCTCCCATTCTTCTCCGCCACCGTAGCTGTCACGTATGAAATTGCGGTGCGCATCGGTGCAGGGTGACTTGAGCGGCGGCTGCGGCGACCAGAATGTCGCCATCGCTTGCATCGCCAGGCGGACCCTCGCCACGCACGGGTCGTACGGCCCGGCGAGGCAGTCGACCGGACCACCACCTCCAAGCAAGTGCGCACTCGGGCGGATCGACTCGAGGAAAATCATGAGTTTGGAGCGAGCCGCGCGGTGCCACACCGTCGGCGGGAAGAGGACCTTTGCGTTGAGGATGGAAGCAAAGTCGCCCTCTTGAAGCACGTGGACGCCATCACTGTCGCGGTACATTCGGCACACAAAGAAGTCCTGAGCAAAGCACAAGTCCGCCTCGCCGCTCGCCTCGCGGATGAGGCTGCGCCGCTGCGCCAACGCCTGCTCGCGGCGCTGCGCAGCGGTGTGAAGTGCGCCGACAATGGCAATGGCAGCGGTGGCCAGAGCCTGCGAGAAACTCAATAACAGGCTCCACTCGTCAGCTTCGTCGAGCAGGTCCATGCAGGTGCGACCACCCTCAGTGCGACCACCCTGAGGCGGTGCCGGTGCCGAACCTGTCGGACCTTAGACACCGAGGGCGCAGCGGCGGCGCAGCGGAGAAAAGCGAGCCGCAGGCATCATGGGGGCGCCGGCTTTTTATTTTTTAAAAAAATCTGTCAGCCTGAAGATCAAGTTGTAACGACATTCGCGCCGCATGGTGGCCGCGCTGCGCCGCTCGCCGCTGGCGCGCAGCTGATCGCGGCGCCGACCCCGCGGCGGCGCCATCTCACGCAGCGGGGCGCGTCGCGTCGTCGGCGCCAAAAGACGCGAGCTCGCGGCGCGGCCGCGGCAGCAAAAGCATCAACCGCCTACTTCTCCTTCTCTTCTCGTCTCGTCTCGTCTTGTCGCAGGCGCACACGCGCGCGACGTGCGCCACGTGTCGCCGCGTTCGCTCCGCGAAGGACGACTCGAACCGGGAGCCAGTCGGCGCAGCGGCGGCACGCGGCGGCAAAACGCACGACGCTCACCTCATGGAGATGCTGCGTCTTTGGCACCTCCTGATACAATGCTGATTTTTTGCTGAGCGGGGCGGAGGCACGCGGGTGGCGGAGGCGGCGGCGGACGACGTCTACTACCTGGCCGTCCCCTGTGGTAGCTTAGCGATCAGGGAGGGTCTACCTGTTCGGCCTCGAGGAACTGCTAAGCTGCTGGGGGAGAGATGG